GCTCTTGCTTGTTTTAAAAGGATGTTATTTCTCCACACTTAGGAAGTTTAGTTTAGATGGATATGAAATTCTGGGTTCGAGTTTCTTTTCTTTGAGAATGTTGAATATTAACCCACAATCTCTTCCAGTTTGTAGGATTTCTGCTGAGAGAGCCACTGTTGGTCTGATGGGTTTTCTGTGTAGGTGAGTGGGCCTTTCTTTCCAGTTTCCTTTAATATTTTTTCTTTTATTCTCACCTTGGAGAACCTGATGATTATGTGTCTTGGGAATGATCTTCTTGTGGAGTAGTATCTGACTGGTTTTCTCCAAATTTCCTGAATTTGAGTGTTGGCCTCTCTAGATAGGTTGGGGAGGTTCTCATAGATGATATCCTAAAATACATTTTCGAAGTTTGCTTCATTTGCCCCATCTCTTTCAGGTATACCAATAAGTCGTAAAATGGGTCTCTTTACATAATGCAATATCTCTTAGATGTTTTGTTCATTCTTTTTCATTATATTTTCTCTCCTCCTGTCTCCCCATCTTATCTCAGATAGTCAGTGTTCAAAGTCTGAGATTCTTTTCCTCACTTGGTCTATTGTGGTATTAATACTTGTGATTGCATTATGAAATTCCTCTAATGTGTTTTTCAGATCTATCATGCTGGTTATGTTCTTCTCTGCACTGGCTATATTGTCTGTCAGCTCCTGAAATGATTTTTTATTACTTTTAGCTTTCCTGAATGGGATTACAACATACTCCTGTAGCTCAGTCACCTTTATTTCCATCCCTACTTCTATCATTTCAGCCAGCTCATGTTCAGCCCAGTTCTGAACCCTTGGTGGAGAGGTGATGCAGTCATTTGGAGGAAAGAAACCATTCTGACTTTTTGAGTTTTCTGGGGAGAACTAGTTGATCAACTTTTTTTGTACTTAGTGATTTATGGACCTTCTTTACAGTATATTGTTTTACATGTATAGTCATGAAATACCTTTTCATACTGTTTTTGAAAAGCTTTATATTTTTGACTTGTACATTTCAGGTTATGATTCATTTAGAATTAATATTTGTATCAATGTACAGGGAAAATATACAGGTTAAGATTCAGTTTAATGTAATATGGATATCTAACTGATTCAATATAATTGAATATTATACTTTTTTCTACTAAATGACTGCTATCGTCTGATCATTTGTGTCCTCTCCAAAGTTCCTGCTGAAAGTAAATTTTTATGGTAACAGTATTAAAAGTTGGACTCTTTGGGTGTTTAGGTCATGAGGGCTCTGCACTCAGGAATAAGACTAATGTCTAATAAAAGCGGCTTCACATAGAGTTACCCCTTTTGCCCGCCCACCTTCACCATGTCATGATGCAACTCATAAGGTGCCATCTTGGGAGCAGGAGCAGCTCTCACCAAACACCGAGATTGCCAGTGCCTTGACCCTGGACTTCTCAGTGTCCATAACTGTGAGAAAATAAATATGTATTGTTCATTAATTACCCAGTCTACATTTTTCCTTTTCTCAGTACAAGTGCCTTGAGACAATTGTCGTAGGACTTCTATTGTAAATTGAGTGACTATATATATGCAAAATTGGTTTCAGATTCACTAACTTATTGAACTGGTTTGTCTCACCCTTCACTAGAACAATAATTTTTAAATTTTCAAATTAATTAGTTATGTTTTGGGACAAGGTCTTGCTTTGTTCTCCAAGCTGGAGTATAGTGGTGCGATCTCAGCTCACTGGAACCTCTGCCTCCCAGGCTCAAGCGATCCTCTTACCTCACCCTCTCAAGTAGCTGAGACCACAGGCATGCACGACCATGCCCAGGTAATTTTTTTTATGCTTTCTGTAGCAGTGGGGTTTCACCATAGTTCCCAGGCTGATCTTAAACTCCTGAGCTCAAGCTATCCACCCACCTTAGCCTCCCAAACTGCAGCAACTACAGGCATGAATCACTGTACCCTGCCACAAAATGGTTATTTAATATAGGTTTTCATATCGAGAAGTGTTCATCCTTCCATCTTGTTTTCCTTATGTAAGATTACCGTAGGTGTTTTTTGCCTCTTTTTTGCTTGTCTGTCTGAGTTAGAAAAATTCTTTCCATTTTAACAAAACTCCCCAGTGTTTTTGATTGTGACTGTATTGAATTAATTTGGGGAGATTTATGTTTACAATATTAAGTTTTCTGATACATATACATGGAATAACTTTCCATTTATTGGGTCCCTTGATTCTCTTCCCATAACCTTTTGTACATTTGCATATATTCTTCATACCTTTTTATTTTACCATAATGTTAAACAGAGACAAGTTGCAAAAATACTGTAAGAAATATAAGAAGGACTGACATTCATTTGTCTACCAATCGTTTGGTTTCTACTTTCATCTTCCTTCTCTAAGTTGATATTCTGGGTAATATTGATGCAAACATCGAAAACTACTCCTAAACTTGACACATGTAAACTGCAATCATCTGTCTATCATCTCTGTGGTTCTGGATGTTGCCTGAGCTCACCAAGCTTCCTGCCAGGCTTTCCTAAGAATGCAGTCAGAGGGTGGGTGGAGAAGGTGTCATCACAAAGGTGGTTGATGCTAGATACAGAGTTCTCAGCTGGGGCCCTTTGCCTATTCATACGCGGACTTGGTTCACTCAACCCTTTCCTAAGGAGTAGACAGAAGTTATGTAGCCTAAATGGCCTCTTATAGCCTCAGAAGGCAAATAGTGTTACCTTACCACTGTCCAATACCACCAAGAGTCAACAGAAATGAAGTGTAAGGCAGTAGGTTTAATGGGAGGACCATCAAAATCACGCTGTTAGAAGGAACTGTACGATGGGAGCTCTTCTCACAGGCATCTTAGAGGATACAACAGGCATCAGTGCACCCTGTGACCAAAGCAATTCATTCCTCCCACCTGCTAAATACTCTAATTCTCAGCTCCACATGCTCAAGTATGATTCCATGATAGTGTTAGGGTACCCTCAAAATGTTGTCCTGGGGGAGTGATATTAGCAAGATGACAGAGTAGGAGATACCAGCCTTCACATGCCCACCCAAAAAACCACAAACACAAAGAAACAAAAGGAAAACCAACAATTAGACAGCTCTCCAAGAAGAAAAATAGCCCTTGGAGAGCTCAAGGGTCCAATTAAAGAAGTGCAGGAACACAGTGGGCAAAAAAGCCCGGAATAATCGTACAGAAAGGATCACTGGGAGATGGCACATCTGAGAGTTTTGAGAAATCTAGGAGAAAAGAAGCAGGAGGCAATTGCTACCAGCCAGGAGGCAGGGCCACTGCAGTCCCCACGGCCTGCTCTGTGGAAGACCCTGCAGTCTTTGCAGCTGAGGATCTCAGAATCTCCCAAGGCAGCTCCACTCTACAGCTTTCCTAATGAAAGTCCGTTAGTGTTCACTGATGAAGATCACAGCAACCTGCTCCACAGAGGACCCTGGTGATTTTGGCACTAAAAAATACCTGTAGCCTTGGGCATGTACATCACCACAGAGAGGAAGATCCTGTGACACCTTCCCTCTACATCCTCCCAAGAAGCAGCCACTGTTGTGCTGCCTGGGATGGGGCTGCCTCCCAGCCCCAACGCTGCATCATCCCAGATCCAGGCTCCAGGACCTCATCCTGTGTTGGCAACTCAGACCCTGAGCCACTTCCTTGTGGACCAGTCCCACCCCAGGCCCAGAGCTGCTGGGACTACAAGTGCACCCACACTCCAGAGCCTGGCCTGAGGCTGCTCTGGAAATTGCCTAAGACATAACGTCAAAAGAGAATGTACAGTAGAGTGAAATGCAGAGAATAACCACACAGCATCTCTGGGAGGTGGCACACCTGAGATACCTGAGAAATATTGGCAAATGTGTCAAGAGTAATGAAACACATTAGTCTATAATATCAAAAAAAAAGGAAACTTATCCAGGATAAACATCAACAAATGCGTTACTATACAGATTATAGTTAAAATGCTGAATCACATACAAAGAGAAAATCTCAAATGTATCAAAAAAAAAAAAAACCTGATTCATATACCAGGGAAACAGCAATAAAACCCTTGTTTAACTGTTCATGGGACCAATAAAGGCAAGAAGACAGTGAGATTATATATTTAAATGCTGGGTGGAGGGGACTCAACCAAAGATTCATTATCCAGTAAAAATATGCTTCAAAAATGAAGGTAAAGTAAAAACACTTCTGATGAACAAAATGAAGAGAAATGATTCCTTGCTGATACGCTCTATAAGATATTCAAGAGGAAATTTTTCAGAATCACAGGAGATGAGAGCAGATAGTAAGTTGAATGCGCAGAAATAAATGAAGATTTCATAGTAGTAAAGAAAAGAGCAAGAAGCCAGGAAAAAACAAAACAGAAAAAAGTGTGTTTCCTTCAATTTATATGAAATTCTAGTCCAAGAGAAAACAAGCTATTGTGATGAACATCTGAATTCCAGTTACCCTGACTGGGATGGGGAAGCAGCTGTTGCCTGGGAAGGTGCATGAGGAATGAATCTGGATAATTTGAAATATTCTAGAGATTCATCAGGATGGAGAACATACATAAAACTTTGTTGCATATTTAACATTTCAGCCCTTTACTCGGTATGTGTATTACTTCAAGAAAAAAAAAAATTAAAAAAACTAATTCTAGACTCAAACCAATAAGAAAAAAGAAAGAAGAATTATCAATTATTTATGGAATCTCAACCTTTCCAAGGAGAAGTGAAAAATGCCCCTGGGAAGTGCTAAGAAACAGGAAATCTAAGAGAGAAGACAAAAGGGAACAGGGAATTTATCTTACTCATGCAGCATAGATTTTATCTCTGTTGTTTTCCCTCCAAACAGAGAAGACATTTAAGGAACTTTTCTCATAAGAGAGGCCCCTTCACCCTTCCCTTGGCTCTTTCCACTTTACTGCACCCACAAGGGATTTTGCCTATTGTCCCCTAGGGAGTACCTTCCCTTGTGAGTCTGAGATAAAAGACTCTTGAAAAAACCTTACCTTGACTGATCAGGGCTCCTCAGTTCACCTTCTCACAATGAGGCTCCCTGCTCAGCTCCTGGGGCTGCTAATGCTCTGGCTCCCTGGTAAGGACAGAAGCAAAATGAGATGGCAAAATGGGGTGGGAGGGTGAGATCTGGGTGCTCCACAGCTTCCCACATTTATTTCAACCATGTGTTAGAGGCACACGGCCTATGCCCCAGGAAAGAGAATTCATATTTTTGCCTTATGAATAATCAGGATTCACCTCCCAGGAACAATGACCAATGCTCTGGTTAAGATCTTGAAAATAAAGCGTTTCCTACTGGCTGGTAAATAATGGGTTCATTTTAGAAAGTCTACTTTTCACGATATAAATCAAAACTTGAAAAAAATATGTAACTGTAAATCAATATCATAAGGGAAATCATGAAAGTTGCTCACGGTGTGTCTATACAACCTTACACTTCTTTCATATTATTTCAGGGTCCAGTGGGGATATTGTGATGACACAAACTCCACTCTCCCTGCTCGTCACCCCTGGAGAGCCAGCCTCTGTCTCCTCCTGCAGGTGTAGTCAGAGCCTTCCATACAGGGGTGAAAAAACCTACTTGTATTGGTATCTGCAGAAGCCAGGCCAGTCTCCACAGCTCCTGATCTATTTTGTTTCAAACCGGGCCTCTCGAGTCCCTGACAGGTTCAGTGGCAGTGGGTCAGACACTGATTTCACACTGAAAATCAGCTGGGTGGAGACGGAGGATGTTGGGATTTATTACCGCATGCAAAATATAGAGCTTCCTCCCGCAATGGCACAGTCCCATAGAGAAACCTGCCTTCTGGGGTGTCCCAGTTGCTCACGTGCACTGTTTGTCTGGGGAGCAGGTCAGTAGGGTCTCTGGGTCTGCAGAAGAGGTGGTTCTTGGAGAATTCAGGGCAAAGTTTGCTGCTGAGGACTCTGGCCCATGAGAGGCTCAGCTGCTCCTCAGTCCCACATGTTAAGACCCCATCAGCTATCACAGGTGGCCACGTGCTCTGGGAGCAACCAGCTCTAATGAAAGGAGAGTGAATGAAAGCCTATCCTCACCCTTCCTGTCTGGCCCACGTTAGTTGAGTCCATTTATTTGGCAGAATAGTCAGATCATGGATGCAGGTTAGTGGTAACTCAGGTGAAATACATGTTAGAAGTGACTGGTTTGGGGATAGTTTTATACATGGTAACACTTGTTCATGTTGGGAAATTGCTATCTTCCCACTTTCCAAACTTTCTCTCTCCTTTACGACTCACATGAAACTGTTCTCTCTAGTATTATGGTGGAGAAAGCATTGTACACCAGTTGTTCTCAGGGGAGTGTGGCTAAGAAAAATTAGATAAAATATTTTGTTTTTCTACTTATAGATTTTTAAAAATCATGTCAAATATAAGATCCTAATACCAAAAGAGCTTGATATGCCTCAATTACCTTTTGCTGACTGAAAATGGAGTTCTTGCAATTCCAATAGCGGACTTTGAAAATAAACAAAATAATTCAGATGGAAAACATAAAGTTTACATAAGGTATCACAGGAAAAATGTAGAATTATATGAGATTTTTATTCTCTTCTCAAATTCTTAGAATTTTAAAAGTTTTTTGCCGACATAGTATTTTAGAGAAGAAATATTTAGTACTATGTTGTCATAAGAAAATGATTCAAAAAATAAAAAAATGCATTTTTACATGACACTATTTTTTTCCTGAAAATAAATCTGAATCCTCTCTTTTAGTTGTAAATGCATAGAAAAAATATGCTCCTAATAGATTCCATTGACAATAGTACACTAAATTCATATGCTTTTTTTATTTGAGAGCTAAGGTCAGATAAATATCTCTATATATTTTGCCATGCAACTTTTAAACCTAACAGAAATGCTTTCTGTTAAAAATGCAATAGTGCTTTCTCCACCATAATACTAGAGAGGGCAGTTTTGTGGGAGTGGTAAACGAGAGAGAAAGTTTGGAAAGTGGGAAGATAGCAATTTCCCAATATGACCAAGTGTTACCATGTAGAAAACTATCCCCAAATCGGTCGTTTCTAACATGAATTTCACTTGTGTTACCACTAATCTGCATCCATAATCTGATTTTTTCTGCCAAATAAATTTATATGAATCCGAGTAATGAGTGACGTCTGTCACATGTGGTAACACATGTGTAGAGACACAAAAGGCTGATTGAATCAATAGAACAAGATCCTGATGCAGGCTAAGGGCTTAAATTATACTTAAGATGATTTATGTCAAGATAACGGATTCTGTAGTAAGTGCAATTAAAATTCCAATGTGTCATTTCTGTTAGCTTTAAAAGTTGCATGGCAAAATGTATATAGATATTTATTAGATCGTAGTCCTCAAATTAAGAAACATAAGACACTTAATATGTTATTCAAAAATTCTAATTAATGCATCATTGGGCCTAAATGTTATTACAGAATGCGGTAAAAGAAAATAAAATGTAGCTAGCAAGAACAGGAGCTAAGCAATACCATTGTCACCTTTACCCCTCCTGTGATTGACAGCACCTACTCACCTTGAGTTTCTACTTTTCCAGGAGACAGAAGATAAAATCAAACCCCATTCAAGGTGGTTAGATATATTTTTAGGAAAAGCAAACAAATATGCAACCTACATGATGCTGATATCCCAAAGTCCTATACTCTCAAGTCAAAATGGTGAAAAATACATGATTCCAAAAACTGAAAGGGGAGAGATACAAGGAGAATGAGAGCATAATCAAATTTATTACAAAGAAGCTTCATAATATGGTGGACTAAATGTGACAGGGTTTCTGTGTCTGTGCCATAGCAGCGCAGAGGCAGGCAGGTGCCCTTGGTGGTGTCGGTGGCTCTGCTCCATGAGGTCACTCAGGTGGGCAGGAGGCACGACCACCCTCAGAACACAGCCTTCCTC